GAACTTTTCGAGTTTCTTATATATAACCCACTTAACATTTTTATATAAGTATATACATGAGAAACATAAATATGGGTTACTGTGAAACTTATAATTCATTATTTTAAGTTTTTATTAGTTAATAAAATAATTATTTTACTTTTCTCTTTACCTGACGTATCAGTTAACTGAACCGCGAAGTTAGTACCAATCTCGGTAATAGGTAATGTGAATTATAATGAAGTTGATTTTATTAAAAAGGTAAGAATGCAATTGTTATGTTTTTAAGATCATAATATGTTATGTACATTTTTTTGCTTTGATCATTTGACGTATATAAAAAATATGTTGTCATTTTTTTGAAATTTTCGATTAATTTAATTTGGAATGATTGACATCCAAAATAAATAATAAAAGATAATAATGATTTTTTCTTCAATCTTTTGCACAAAAAAACTAAACCCTGCAATATTTATTTTCTTTCTGTTGGTTTGAAAACATTATTAAGTATTATAAAATCACACCCATATCACATTATAATAAACTTTTGATTGCAAATGTAATAAATATTCATCATGTAAATGACAAAACGAAAATTGTACCCACTTATCAAAACATTTTTGAGTGCATTGTCCTGATCCAAGTTAACGGTGTGTCATATCACACATATTTAAATATATGTTAAATCCCACCAAGAGCCATCCAAATTAGAGTTGATTATTAGGTATCAGATATTTAAGAGTGAAATCAACTACACGATGTCTTGACAATATGTATATCGTGTAAGTAGAACCACCCAAATACCCAAATCAATGATAATAGCCATATCCAAGAGATTAAATACTTGTTCTGGTCTTTCTACGTCTACTATATACACACATAAGAAACGCAACGTATCTAAGCATGCTTATCCGTGTTCAGAAATAGTACTTGTATTAATGGTTAGGTTGGTTACAGATTTCAGTTTTGGATGTCGCCTAATTGAGACGCAATACAACCTCTAGTGTTGGTCGTTATTTTACCGGCAGGTCTCAGAATAGCCGGCTATCTTAATAACAGCTGTTCCCGGATCCTTCCTATTTTAAGCGCAGTATGGTGGTATGGCAGACAAAGAAGGGTCAGTCCCGTATTTGATAATTTTTAATACATACTAAAATATAAGTTTTCTTTTATCCTGGATTTTGAATTCACTTCTCCAGATGAAACCATTGAACCTCGGGCATAGAGTACACAAGCAGTATCGTGTAGGCATATAAAGAAAAAAGAGTTACATGATAAAGACAAACTAATGCGAATGAGTTGAGAAATTAGTGTTTTTGCAAGTTCAAAGGATTTTATCTATATCTATAAAAGAAGAAGCTGACAGACTAATTCACTGACTGATCGATCAACGCACAGCTGCAACCGCTGGGTCTAGAAGCATAAAATGTTGCACAAATATTCCTTAAGTGGCGTAGGTGTGCACTAAGAAAGAATTAAAAAAAAAATCCCCTCCTAACGGTGCAAAGTGGGGCTTGGAAGTTTACAAGAAAGTTATCATTTTTGGTAGTAGTGTATCCTCTACGATGTCTTTCGTCGCTTCCAAAAACTAGTAAAGTAATAATAAAATGTTGCTTTTTATTCGACTCTCGACTTTTTAAATTAATGCACTGCTAATAGGGGTCAATGTACAGATATGATTGAAATTGTGAGGCACGATATCATTGTTTACATAAAGCATATTAATAAACGTAAAATATAACATCTGACATCTGACCTGACGCCATCTCTTATACCGCGCACGCTCGTGGGTCAGTCAAATCATGTAGCTTCCCCGGCTTCCTGTTACACTCTTCCGTCGCTTTTCATATTATCACTCCCGTAAATTACAGGGAAGTAAGGGCAACATAAAAATATGTTACAAAATAATTATATTTTTTAAACCATAATTTATGTTGCTTGAAAGGAATAATTACACAAAATTACGTACGAAACCATCTATTTTATGATTAAATAAATAAAATGTTTTAAATTAAGGTGTGTGTGTGATAATGGAATTGAATAAATTAGAAATAGATTCTTATTGTAATTTCGTATAACGGCGGTCAGTCAGAGTCAGAGTCAACCTCACCTAATCGTCCATCTTCTGATATGAGTCAACCAGTTAATTTCTTAGAAATCCCCATTTTAATTTGAGTTTAAAACTTCATTAAAAAGAGTTCTTTGGTAGTTAATTGACATCTTCAAACGGTTTAAGTTCTCTAGAAAAGAAAGTGCTTTACTTTGTTTATATAATAATGAGTTGAAATAAAAGGTCGAGACAGTTAAACGTTTTGAACGATGTGTCATATTCTGCGTGAACGATGATGAATCAAGAGAAAATATCGTTTAATTATGATGAATAACAAAATAATGTCATAATTTCATGTAATATTTGAGACTTTGCCTGTTCTATTGCAATGCCTATCAGAGACAATGGCAACAGAATATTGTGACTGGAATTGATCAGACTGCTGCGCATACGTTCATTGAACGCCTACTCTGGACAAACGCTAGTGTGAAAGGGCTCAAAAGCAAGAAAGTATGTAAATATCGGTCATAATCAGTTTATAATAAAGGTTGTCGTCGCGTACATCTATGTGAAAAAATGACCGCGAAGTGGATGTACTTGAACATATCTTCAACTATTTAATTAAGTAAAACATTGCGTCATTACTTAAATATTTGTGGTGAGGTGCGTCCATTTCAAACGTCTAATTGAACGCAAGTTCAAATGATCTTACGTTCAATTTGCAATCATTATGAAATAGAGTGCAGCGCAAACTTTTTATTGCGCGATATATCCTTAAGAAAATAAGACACCTTTTGTAAAATAATGGTGTAAAAACTTAAAAAGTTACGTCAAAGTAATAAGGAACATAATCTATATACAATTTCTTATAGACGGATGTGGCTTATGTAACAAAAAATGCGTATAATAAGTAGCAACATTTGCTGAGCAAGATGATTTTGGTCAATGTTAATTATTACATTATGATTCGATTTACTCTTAGTACAATCTTCTATGAAACCATTAACAAAATAGACTTATATTGAGATGATGTAGTCAATACCGTTCCTCTATATTATTCATAGTAATGTTTTTTTTCTAAATATATGTTTCTTTCAATTCAAAGGCCTTTGATCATTAAATATCATAAAAATCTTTTTTCATTTAAATTGGTTCATTGGCCTTACAGTAATTTGGCTGTGAACTACTTTCAAGTGAGTTTTGACTCACTATGATTGGTATTTTAAAGCAAATATCTGACCTGACAGTATTTGTATAGTATTGCGACCTTGTGTTTCCCAAACGAGAGGTTATTTTACACTAATAGAACCAATAGAAGTCAGATAAGTCACCACAAAGCTATGTTAATATCTATATATACTTGTATCTTAAATTACGTCATAAAATTGCTTATTGTTTTCATTTCAATTAGAAAAACGGTTGTTTATTGCAAAGTGCTGCTCTAAAAATCCAAGTTATTAGAATCTTGAAGGATTATATTAGCATCTTGTGACCTTGTGTGAACAAAAAAGATCGATTCGCTTGCCGTCATTTACATTCCAGGAAGTAAAGTTCGAGAGAAATGTAATAGATAGATAGAGATAGATAAAGATAGAGAATAGATAGATAGAGAACTATAATAGATTATGTTTAATTTGGTAAACACTATAATAGGGTGTATTTAGTAAGACATTTCTCTTTACATTTATTGTAAGTTTTATCTATCTAATTATATTTTCCGTGACCTTGAATTCTATTGCGCAACACGTGTAACATTATAACGTTGATAATACATACTTTAAATTACACATGCAAAAACATATCATGTCATACACAAAGCGTTTTTGTACTTTAAACAAATAATATATACTTAATGGTTAATAATATCTGCTGGTTAATATATTCGGAAATAGTTCTTCTTTCGAAATCACACAGTGATCCAACAAAAAAATATGATTAGACATTATATTGCAAAAAATGTTTAACCTAAATAAGTATTATGTTTATAAGTATGCGTGAAATGCTACAATCAAGTATACCTACAAAGCAATGTTCGAAATACCGGTTTGTGGGACTTAACCATAGAGAGCGGTGGGATTCTGCAAAAGTTTGTCATGGTGATTTTATATTTGTCGATTTTTATGTTTTAAGTAAATACTAATAATACTTAATATAATTTCACCTCAAACTTATTTTTATACATAAATTTGGAATCAGATTTAATAACCTGATTTCAAAGTTCAAGTTAAACAAAGGGGAGTCTACTACCTCTTTATTTAACCTTTGTTTAACTTGCAATGTTTTCATATATATTTTTTCTTGTCAAATTTAGTAACTGCATTTCAAAGCAGTTATTCTCAATAGATTATGCTTGAACTAAAAATTTACTTGGAATAAATTAATATATAGAATAAATTAAAATAAATGAAATCAAAATTATGTAAATAGTAAAAGAACATTGCACTTATAACTTGACGTACGTTAGGTATTTTCAATAAATTATTTAATAACTTTAAGATCAAATATGAAAAAAATCGCCATCAAATATGGAAAAAATAAAATGAAATAAATGTACTGTTAGTGTGATCTAGTCATAAAAGTAAATATAGCCTTTGAAATGTTTTTCATGCTGAGACTTATTCAATAAATATATTTAGCAGTATTTAAAATTAAGTACACTCTTTCACATTGGGAGTAAGAAAGAAAGTATAAAACGTAATGTCTCATAAAACATATTCATAGGAGAATTTAATAAGACGTAATAATTACAATATTAAATCATCATTCAAAAACAATAAAACATGCCGTTTAAATGACTCAGCCGTGCTTAAGAATGGGAAGAAAAGAATTTACAAAGAAGTTATAACACAATAATATTATTGCAGAATAATACTCTAAGTTTCATTCATCCGCTAATAAAAAGCCAAAGTCGACCTAACCTGTTCATTCATTTGTTTACTAGCTGCTACGAAGCGCTAAGGCCGTATCGAAAATGTGTAAATTAAATTTAGTGCTCGTGTTCCTGTGTTTATTAAACTTAGTGGAGATGAGAACACTGTATCGCCCTAATCCTGATGATCCTACCGCGATTGCGTTCGATGGTCCCACGAACTATGAAACTAGGAAGCAATCTGAAAATGAAGTCGATGATTATGACGTTGATATTTGGAAGCTTGCAGACGTAAGATTTGCAGACGAGGACACAGATGTAAGGAAACCAAAGGCTGAAGTGAGCGACGTTGGCTTCTTCTTTCCTGACCAACAATATTAAGAATGCACTTAAAGTTACGAGTTACACGTAAAAGTTGCTTTAAAAAAATGCTCAAAATATGAATTGACAAATAGAAGACTGACAGTCCTCCTGTGCCTGGAATATGAAGTATTGGTATTATTTATTCTTGTTTTAAGACTTTATTTTTAGTGACATTAAATTTAAGACTAATGTAATTTTGTATGTGTGACCGTGAACAGGAAACGTGTGTTCGTTACCGTGTTTGCTGACAAATATTGTTTTTGCAATTAATGCATAAGATGTGCTAAAGTATTCACAAATAGTTGACAGTGGTAATAAGGCCTCTATATTCATAGTGTATACTTTACATACTTATATTAAATACATTTAACGTTATTGGAACTGTTAAAAATAATACACTGTGATAATAATTTATCAGAGTACATTATTTGTTTAGATATATTGAAATAAAGTGCAATTCTCAGTACGTAACACATAAAGTGTTAAAAAACTTATTTTTACAAATCAAGGCCAAACCAGTAAACAAGTGCAATTAAATAGCATTTCAAACTTTAAATCATTAAGAACGATTTCCTTACTTTATTAACTCAACTACCAAAAATATGTTCTATTATTTATTTTATGTACTAAAAAATAGTTTTTATAAGTAAGCAATAACGCCTCCTAATGAATCTCATTTGTAAAAAAACAAATACGACATTTTTATCTGTTTTTAATCGGAGTAATATCGGGACCAAAATTAAATATGTGACGTATTTAATGTAAAGGTTTTAATACAAGTGTAGCCTTTAAACAAGCTTTAAACACCAAACAGTTTTATTTTTTTAAAGTTTTGAAGAGAACATTATTATTGAACTTTTTACAAATAGTATTTAGATTTTGGGAAACTATAATGTAATCTTGTATACAGTGCATTCTTTGTTCCATCTTCTTAATATAACTATTACGAGATATACATTGATTAAAAAATACATTTAATCTTACAAAAATACATAAATAAATAATGAAATAATGTACACTTAACTCAGAGGTTCGTGGGAAAGTACAAAGGAAGACAGAAATTTGGATTGATTAAATTATAAATGCACATAATTTAAACGACGAATGAAATTGTTGTATATAATTATATTGGAATATGAAACTAGAGAATAATAAATAAGTTGTACATATTTTGAATGTTACCAAATGTTAATTTGATAAGCCATATTTATTTGATAATAAGTTATAAATAAAACTCGCAGAAGGTTCTCTAGTATTACTAGTAGTTAAGACTATTATAAGTAAAATGACGTCATAAGTTATGTTTTTGTATTCAGCAACATTTATTTTTATTTACTTATTATCTTTAATTATTAGGACTGTAGTTTTTTTTTGTAATGATGACTGATATTTTAATAAATATTGACGACACGTGTAAGTTTCATTGATTTTCATAAAACTTAGATTTAAATAATACCCTGTCTATTCCACTGTGTGGTATGCACTGATATAAAAAGACACGCTTTTTATAATATCTTGAAATCTGGTATGTATGGTCCTATCAGTCTGTCTGTTTGTTTGTTTTTTCTGACGATTCTCCATCCAGATCATAAGGATCGAGTTCCACAGCAATTTCACTGGCAGAAAACTGATGTCATGAAGAGTAACATTGGTTTATTATCTTTCGTAAGATTATAGGATCGTAGTAGAGATATAGGATCACTTTGTTGTCCGTCTGTCTGTCAAGACCCTTTATCTCGGGAAAGTGTCATCATGTAGCTGTAAAAAAAAACAGATTTTGAAGTTACGTAAAACTGCTACTGCCTTTAAAGGGAATCAAAATTTATAGACAAGTAACAGTTCATCATACTCGTACTAAAATCCAGGAAAAAATCTTGAAACTATAGATTTTAAATAAAATAAAATAAATTATTTATTTAAAGCACGTAAGTAATCATCGACATACTATGTATTTCACTTATAAAATACAATAAGTAATTATGGGTTTTTGAAACTGAATTGCCTGAAAAGCTCGGAAAAAACCGCGGGACCTGATTCCTGAACTATTTATAATAGGTACCTAGTCCGACTCGCACTGGTCCGGATTTCTTTTATTTTAGCTTATCCAAGTACTGCCCTTAACTTTAAACTTGCATAGATAATTACATCTCTACAACTTTGCCATTCTGGGGGCAGTTTGTTTATCCCTTTACTGTAGAAGTCTCCTGGACGGGAGGCGATCTAGTCAGTAAAAGCGTTTTGTACTGTCTCTCGGGTGATGAATTTTTGCCAACATAAAAAATTGACTACATTTTGAAAAAGTAGTAAGGCAAGGTCCGGTGATTACGGTGGGTAACGGAAGAGTTCAAGCTGTAACTTTTCTAGCTTTGCTCGCGCGTTGTCATGGAGAAGCAATAGGGAAGAGCGATTGACCAGTCGTGGTCGTTGAATTGCGAGCTTCTCCAAGATTGTTTGCAATTCTTACTAAACCAAATTACTGAATTTGAAATTAAAATAAGATGACTTTTTAATTAAATTCCACAGATAATTAAATCTGAAATTTCTGGTTTTAAAAATTTCCACATAGGATAACATTCCAAGACCAAGACATTATAACTATAGATTGTATCGAACATAATTTAATAAAAACATTAACAGAATCAAAATATAATAAATATTATAAAAAGCGTATCATCTATAACAGAATTTAATAAAAACATTTTGAAAATAAAAGTTATCCGTCCAAGGATGTTTACTCACTCAGCCGTATCCGTTAAACTTATCACTAGAGCAAACCAATTTCTTAGGAAGTTGATCAAATGGAACTCAGTCCTTGGTATACGGTTCACGGTTAACCGGTTTTATTCTTTTGTACAGCTATTAATGTACATCATGGGGGTAACATAAGGATTGAACTTTAGATATTAGATGAAATTAAGTGTTTTATGCATATTTTGAAATAACTATATCGTTGCCTTATAACGTGTGCTGTATTTTATTAATATTTAAAATTACAGACTTTTTAGTAATTCTTTACCACAATTTGGTTGTCTTTATGTACCTCATTATGTCCTATCAGGATAATCTGTTACTTCTAAACTTTTAAACCCTGACTCTACATTCAGGTATCCTAGGTAGGTCAATCCTAGTCACACCACACATCCATTGTAACACCCACATGATACCGCCTCTCATCCCTTCGCGTCGTTGGCTAATATTTAGGGCTATATAGGATAACAGGTCTAATGATTTTCTTATAAATTTGTCCTTTCAATTTAAAAATACCGTAGGATCATAGACTGTTCCTGTTTCAGAGCAAACTGCATTCATTTGAATTAGTCGACTCACCATTGATTGTGTCAATGCTCAACACCTGACTCTAAGTGTAAATAGTCTGCTCATCGTGTCTTCTGGGAATGTAATCTTTGGTACAATGAACGTCATATAATGCTGAATAGCTTACATTTGACATCAGTGGCGGTATACTATGAGGATCTTGTGTCAACTAGGGTGAATTTCCGTGCGTTAAGGCGATTCTGCCATACATGTTATAGAAATCAAATATAGTTCACTTAGGACCTATAATATATAATATATATTGCCTTGGTTTTAAAAGGATGTATGCCTATTGTTATTACTTTATTTTGTCTCCCGCTTTGCTAAGGAGGGAAATAGATTTATTATATTTCCAATTCCTTTAACTTTCTACTGATTAATTTAATGTCGGGTTCCAAGATAGTTTATTTTTTCATAGGACTTCCCGAGTGTCATACGAGTAACTCAGTGTTGTTAATCCTAGTATACAGGAGTTACAGTGTGGGATTGATAAGTCTGGTGATAAAAGAGACTGTTCCTGTTACCTGCTGCCATTGTCATAAATTACGCCTGTTATATATAATAAATTACACCCAGACTCAGAATAAAAAATCATGCTTATCAATTATTTGTACTGGGTGACAATCAAAACTACGAATGCCGGCTTAGAAGTCAGGGTCACTAACCACTAGAGTTCAATTCTATTGAGAATCGTTTAGCAAGCGTTTATTTTATTTAAATAATTTTCTAGATACGACAGTTTGCGATAAAACCATCGGTGGCTTACAGTTTCCTATTTTACTTGGACAACGAAGAAAAGTTATTAACGAGATAATCAGTTTAATTTTTGCTAATAAAATTCTTAGCAAGGATTAAACTGATTATCTTGTTAATAAATGCCTATTTAAGCATTTATTATGGCTGGATGTAACCCTTTGATTCAATAACCTTAGGCAGGAACTCGCGTAAGTGGTTTAATTTGCCTAACATCTTGATGACTTTAATAAACTGTATTCTTTTTTTTCTTGTATTCTACTTTTTAATTAAATTTGAATCTGATTAAATAGGAAGTACGCACTTCCAATTTTAAATATCTCACAATCATTTTAGAAATGTGAAGTTTTCAGTAAACAAACAAAAAATACAATTATTTTCAGAAATGAAGACAATAATAATGGCTGGCAGGAGCTGGATACGAGAGGCCGAGGATCAAACCAAGTAGCGAGCAATTGGACAGGCCTATGTCCAGCAGTGGACTGCGATAGGCTGATGATTATGATGATTCTTAGAATAAATAATAATACTATTAACAATATTCATATCTTGTTAGAATTAATTCTTAATAATTATGATAGTATAAAATTAATAAAATTTACTCACTTTCATATCAAAATTTAGACCTAGAATACAAAGAACCATTAATTATTATGTTCAGTTCCTGAATTTGCTGACTTACATCAGAAAATTAATTTTTATTGCTTAGGCGCCATATCATCTAAAAATAAATACACTTTTGTTGCGCCTCATAAAATAGTTATCACAATGTGCTAGAACTATATAAGTAAGTGATAGAAATCTAGGCATGTACACTTAATCTTAATTAGTGTATACTTTTTAAGTATAGTAGGGTAGTGTAATCCTAGTAGTGGATAAAAGAGTAGGTAGAGCAGCTAATACAATGGAAATAGTGCAGTGTAATCTCGTTCGTAAGTAAAAGACTGTAGTAAGCTCGAATGCAAAAACTCTAATCACTAAAAATTTGTTTCGTCCTGTCAAAAAACGTTTCCTGTTCTGAAAACGTAGAATTTGGCATTGAGAATAGAGCATTGTTGCCATCAGTTGATGGTGCTTACAACTTTCTTCAAATTATTTTCCTGGGTAATTACGAAGAGGTAGGAATCAGGTGGAAGAGAGATCATCATATAGCTGCAACAACTCTTACATGAGCATAATCCAAAAATATAGGTTAAGGTCGAATTATTTTTTGTCATTACATGGTCGTATTGTAAACGGAAGATTTTGGTATTTTGGATTTGCCGGTAGTTTTAAATTTGGCGGGTTAATCACTTTCGATATTCTAATGTCAATATATGGAATTATTGATATTATTATTATTATTATAATATAAACTTACAAAGTTGCAGTTTATTTTATTTGTCCTTACTGACACAGGTAGGTAACTGGTAGGTACAGTGAGTCATTGATAACCGATATTTCCTATAAAAGTAAATGAGTTTGACAATAAAAAATATTACGTATCGTAAAATGTATATCTCGCACCGTTGTTATCCTACGACAAAAAGTGGTGAGATCCGATTGTAACCTAATAAATTAAACAACTGTAATATATTTATTAGAGATCATATTATTATTTAGAGATATTTATTTCTTCACATCACATCATCATCAGCCTTCAACAGTCCACTGCTGGACATAAGCCTCTCCTTAGAAATGAGGTTTTGGCCTACTATACCACGCTGGCTAGACGGGTTGGTATAGGGTTTGTGTCAAGTCCTTCTCTCTACCTAAATCGTCGTCTAAATGGAGAATGTACTGAAGGTGGTGGAGAATGTGGCCGCGCCGTTGCGGGCAGGCACTAGGAGGGGTCCGGATGTCCTAACACACCACACCACCTCGCCGCAAACCCCGGTGGGGTGACGGCCCGAGGGGGTTTCCACACGCTAAAAAAAAAGGGTTTGTGTCAAGTTTTCCTTCTGTCTGCAGTGCTGTTGTTCTGCGTAGTTTTTTTCCCTGAGTCGGCTCTTACGACACCCACGAGATGAATATGGGTTTTGACACTGTATTCTTAATCCGTAAATAGAATCACGCCGAAATTGCAATCGCTTATAGGCTCTGTGAGTATATAGAAAAAAAATAAAGAGAGGGCAACACAGCAGACAGTGCTCCCTAAACCTATTCCTGAATCGCAACTCCCAGGCGCTGTCGAAGTCGCATGTGTTGCCACCATCTATCACGCGATGTACCCGGCACCCGCACGGTGCATCCATGGAACGCTAAGAAATAGGTCTGACATTGGCGTAATTGTTACGATGGTATGATTCACGTTAGGAAGTTTGTAATGAACGCCTTTGCTCACATACAGTCAATAAGTACATTAGTTTTTTAAAATATTTATATTTTTTTGATGGATTATATCAGCACAATTGTTTATCAGGAATAATAATGGATTAGCATCAGCCTATACGTAACTTCTATCTAAGTATGTTCTTCATACGGAAGCTTGTTTGTACAATGTGTGTACATAATAAAATGTAATGTTGTAATAAAATATCACATGTTACAATTGATGAAATAAGAGAGCGGGTTAAAAAGTTTCCTAAAAGCCTTTCAGTTCTCATTACTAAAATGAAGACAACCCAACTCAAAGTTGAGTTTAATCTCAAATTTCATTTCTTGGTATATACCGGATATGGTAATACGATGGCTTTGCAGGGTTAAACCACTCCAATTTGAGGTTCGGATATTAAATACAATTGAAGATTCGTTGTTCTTAGTAAACCTCGTCTATTTACTTAAATGTTATCTTGCTTGATTTTAAATTACGTGAATTAATAAGTTTTTCACAGTTTTATTAAGTTTCACGACAGAACAAGAGATTAAAAAAAATACTATTTGTCTATTCGAGAGTTCTGTACGAATTAATTTTATTTTAAAAGATAGGTAGACTAAACACACTTAGGATAAGGTGTTCACTAACAGTTAGATCATGAAGTAACTTAATATTTTTATTTTAACATCTTCCTTTAGGATATGCTGTATAAAAAATTCTGGAAGGTGAAGTCAATCTGCAGCTTATAACTTCTTATTAACGATAAAAAATGTAAAAAAACATGTTGCGAAAACACCATTTCTGTAGTAATCGGCAACTCAAATAGTAATTTAAGTCTATAAAGTTATTTTAGTAGCAATTAACTCAGCAAATGCCGATTTTTATTTTAGAGTAACAAGTTTTACTGTCTGCTGGACTAATCAACACTCCAAAATTACTTATGTTGTCTGTTTTGGTACCAAAGCAGCATTCAAAAGTAAAGGCATTGAAGTAAATATAAAGCGCCTGTTGGACAAAACCTGCAAGATCACACAAGGGTAGTGATAGTGCCTTCAAACAACTAGAAGAGCCATCGGAAGACCTAACTGTGTATGAACTTTTTTGTTCCACTTAATAAAACAAGATTTTGAGGTTATTTCAGTTTTGAGTACTGTACTACATTATACCTATATGACCTTACACTACCACACTGTATGTGTATTACTTTAAGTGAAAAAAGTTAATGGCGGAACGCTAATATTGCCCAATTAATAAAACAACCATTGGATATTTGAGGAAACGTCATCATTATCATTGTTGTTGGTAACACGAGTTTATCTTTACTTCTAGTGGTTATTTGGTGAATGTCGCTAAAATTTGTTAATAAATTATTATTTTTCTTTACATACAATAAATTTTCATAAATGTACTGAGAGGCGACTGTTATGATACCAATTTCTTTGACATTATCCCTCAGTGACCATGTCAGTGCCTATAACTCAGATTATAAGAGAGAATAAAAATCACGCGAATATTCTTTCTTTGTTACTTTGAAGTATAAGACCTAATAAATGTATATCTGAATATATATCTCGGAAATCACTCAAACGATTTCAAATAAAAATTTAATTTAGACAGGGAGTCGTATTTTAAGTTGGTCTATCTAGGTGTCCCTTATAGATAAAAGGCGCTTTATAGAAAAAACTTAGTTTTGGCAATAGACCTGCTCCTTTCTATGTAAGTAAGACTAAAATTGTAGTCAGCAAAATGTGGGCGTTGAATACGCCTCTATCGGGTAGACAAATGGACAAAGACTTGAATGTAGGTATGCACTTAAAGTTAACTTTTACATATAAACGTATTTATGAGTATCATTTTCAGCAGCTAACGTTTTATTTATTATGCTTATGTTAAGCTGTTAAAATTAAAGAAAAATGAGTTTAAAAATATACTAGGGCGCTAAATCACTCACTTACATCTAGACATAGTTTTTTATAATGTCTTTTGAAATATAGGCACAACCTTTAAAAGTAGCAAGAAGAAACTGTAAACGATTTCCCCCAATGTACTGTACTGAGCTTTTCTATACAAAATATTAATCTTCGAGCTCTTTTTTTTTAATGCGGAAAGCCCTTCGGATATCACTTACCGGTGGCAATGTCGGACTCGAACCGACTAAAACCGCACGCCGTCTCACGTACCAGCAGTCGGAGAACTAGGTGTACCCTAGAAAGGAAATCCCTGGTGCCCCGACGTACCTCGGCCATCTACGGCGTGTAGACGACCAACGCTGTGTGGGAACCACCATGTTCCCTCTGTGCTCTGCAGCCTGCTTCTGCTAGGGTGACAGATGGCCTCACCTCTCACCCCCAGGCCTGCGCTTATGGAGGACGGATGTCGCCTGAGTCGTCTGCGGTACCTAGCCCGTTCCCGAGCAAGGCGAGCCAGAGTTCTAAACCTCTCCCGGTCCCGCTTTGCCGTCTCCTTCTAAGACGGTAGAGTTCCACGCACTCTCGCTCCGCACGATAGCCGCAATAAGGCTATCGAGCGAGAGAACTCTCACTCCGATGGCCGTCACGAGGTCTCGCCTCTGCTCCACTAACGCCGGGCATTCTGCCAGTGTGTGGAGCGCCGTGTCCATTGTCCGACCATCGCAGTGGTGGCACTCAGGCGTTGGCTCCTTGCGGATCAGACACAGGTGATCCCCGAAACATCCTTTCCCAGTGATCACCCGTATCAGTCGGTATGAGAGGGTCCCGTGATGCCTCTAGAGCCAATCCCCCATAACGGGTCTTACCGCCGCGATGACGGCGTGCCCGAATCTCCGAACTCTGAGATTTCCGAGAAAATTATGGTACTGTAAAATGCCGTTTGTTAACTTGCTAAGTTATTATAATGTAGTCGTTTTTTATGTTAGAGGGGGCAGACGAGCAGATGACTTGATGGATAGTGACCATCGCCGCCCATGAGCGTCTGCAACTCAGAAGTCACAAACGCGTTGCCGGTCTTTCAGGAAGAAGTACGCTCTTTCGTGTTATTTTTACCTATTGTTCTCATTTTTAGATACGAACTTAATCATCATATACTTGTAAAACATTTTTCTGAACCAACAAAAATACGAAAAGACGACTTTAGAGGATTGGAAGTTACAGAATAATACCATAAACGAAATCTAATAAAATAGGGTAATTTGTATGCGTAACACTAATTTACACAGTTAGATTTGCTAAAAGATAAGGTATTCTATTGTGTATGACATAGGTTGATAAAAACATAATGTAGTTTTGTTTTGTCCATAATGAGAAACAATTACTTCGTATTTTATAAATGTTTTTCCAAAACAATTACATAGAGTGAACGTGGCAATTAATAATAATAATACTATTTTGGGTTATTTAACACTTTACTTTTACACCAAAATTAATAAAACAACCCATAGTTTCATTAGGTCTAGTCTTCTGGAACTCGGATGTACAAAACAAGTTGGTTTTTTAATACATACACCTTAACATAAAATCTTATGGACTAATGTAAATGTACACATTTGCGCATACACCTTTTGTTTCTGACCAAAAATCACCTCAAAATGTGTCTCGATCGATAGTCTAGTCTTTATTGAATGGGAATTCTTCAGTTAAGAAATATGAACGACCTTTACGCATCAATGATACAAATATAAAAAATATATAAATATAAATATAAAATATATATACAAATATAATGATAGTTAAGAAAGCCTGTTTGTGTTGCAGATTCCGGAAGAAATAATTGTAACGAGAAATGTATTAGTTACCTAAACAATCCGTTATATAGTATCTTTGGAAACATTAATATTGGTAAGAATATAAGTTAGGAAAGTTTTAGTTTTGTGGTTTATATATACAATGAATTATGAATTGTTTTAAATTACGTTGTATTATTAATAACAAAACAGTTTAAGTAATGTTTTCAAATTACCCGATTCTCCTCTACGATGAAAAAGAAAAACAACCACAATATAAATTGTTGGTTCACATGAAAACATACACATAAAACTTGCGGTTTCTGATTGGTGTGTTTGTTTCAATATCAGTTGTTACACAGTATTTATACGGAATATTAAGTTTCGATGCTATTACACAACAATAATAAATAAGTAAAGCAATGTAAGTGCATTTACTATATATAATTTCCTTTTAAGTTCTTTGTGAGGAATTAAATAATTATTAACGCATATTTTACTAGTTTTTAAAAAACTTCTTCCTAATGTGACTGAACAAGTCTTTATTTGCAATATTCAACCCAAAAAAAATTAGTAACGTTTTAAAGTAAATCTAACATTGAAACATAAGGCTCATCATTAGAGCATGCCTATTCTTGTATTTATAAAATTACATTAGTAATATACATATATATGATATATCAAATATATTATGATATATCAAATCCTTACATTGCGTACACACTTCTTCGAAATCTAAGTGTACTGTGTTGAAGATAGAGTACTCGAACTAATTCTTCTTATCTTAAATTAAGGTGTTCTTTGAAATTAAGATACGTCAATTTTAATAGTTATAAGTTTTCTGGTTAACCTGTCTCTATGGGCGTGGCACAGGGGTTTATTCATAGCTTCCATTATTACCTTCAGCCTATTGACTTGCTATTTCGTTTAATGTGTTATTCGTTAATGATGTGATTTATTTTTAAGAAAATTACTCTAGAAAATATGTCGAAGTAAATCGCTGACGTAAATTTCTGAACAGCAAGTTAATACCTTTTTTATTATAACTGTACAATGAAATGTATTTGCAGAGTAATGTGTGTATTTTTCTATTGTCTATTATAAAAGATATCATATAGGTACTAATACTTAAAACTTTTATATTTTAAGTCCAACATAAATTTAGGATTACTTATTTATTTTTTAGAAAATGTTAGTGGCCTCATCAGCCTTTAAGTTCTTGCAAGGACTTCAAGCAGCGCTAAAATTACTATCTGTATTGCACCTAACCAAGTATGAATGGCCTCAGGATGCTGTTGTAACCGGTAAATCATTCATTACCCAATCCACAATTATTTTCTATGCATTTCGTTCTATACCAAAGACTTATCTATAAACATTATTTTTTTTGGTCATATTCTATACAATATCATAGTTATTATTGTTTATTTTATTGTAACAACTACTTATAATTATAGATGGAGAAAGTTTTGATTTCATTATAATTGGAGCGGGGACAGCAGGAAGTGTAATCGCAAACAGATTGACAGAAATAAAAGATTTCAATGTTCTTCTCATAGAGGCCGGTGGCGATCCACCTTTAGAATCCGATGTACGTAATTACTAAAACAAATTTGAATTTAAAGAATTAGAAGACTCATTTTTATAAAGCCTGTTATATCTACATCAAGGTTGACAATCAAATATTTTTCGTGTACAAATTATATTATAAAACATTAAAAAATCTCCCTTTTAAAATAAATAAAAAGTGGTTATTCTCTTACAGATCCCCGGTTTAAGCTTTTTAATGAAAAGGTCTCGTTACGATTGGAATTACACTGCAGAAAATGATGCCTATAGTGATACCTGTCATCTCAAACCTTACTTTGAGTTTACGCTAGGCAAAATGTTAGGTGGAACCAGTTCCCTCAATTACATGGTTTACCATAGAGGGCAGCCGCAAGACTTCAACACTTGGGCTGAAATAACAAAAGACGATAGATGGCAATGGCAAAACGTATTGCCATATTTTCTTAAAAGTGAAAAGCTAAAAGATCCACAATTACTTCATTCACCTGAAAGAGATTTCTATGGGACCAAAGGATATGTTGAATTAGTAAAAGATCGACGTGATTCTATTCAACAAATTCTAGATGCTTATCAAGAATTAGGACACAAAATAGTTCAAGACTTTAATGAACATCATGCTTTAGGATATGCTACACAAACAGTAACTATTTCTGGTAAGTCTCGACATAGTTCAGCTCATGCATTTCTATCAAGTGTGAAAAATCGTAAAAATTTGCATGTGATGAAAAATACGCTTGTTACTAAAATTGTGGTTGAAGATAAAAAAGCCGTCGGAGTCGAAGTCAAAACTGAAGATGGCAAGACTTTACATTTAAATGCAAAAAAAGAGATAATAGTTTCAGCTGGCACATTTAATACTCCCAAGTTGCTAATGTTATCTGGCATGGGTCCAGCAAAGCATTTAAAAGAAAAAACTATTGAAGTTATATCCGATTTACCTGTTGGTGAGAATCTACAGGAGCATTTAGGCGTAATACTTATACATACTTTGGAAGAAACACCCGACTTTGGAGCTTCATTTACTGGTTTCGTTGCTCTAAATAAAACAAGCAATTATCCAGACTACCAGGTCATATCGTATTTGGATAATTCGAAAGTTTTGTTACTTTACTGCACGTTTGTATTTAGATTATCGGACGAAATTTGTGATACAATGTTTAAAAGTGAAGATAAAAAATTACAAGCATTTAACCAAATAATTAATATTCATCCAGAATCAAGAGGTAAAGTGCTTTTAAAGACCACAGATCCATTCGATGCACCCCTTGTTTATAGTGGATTCTTCTCCAATAATAATGACTTAGAAAATTTTATTGATTACGTACAACATTTTTCTGCCATTATGAATACAACATACTATAAAACCGTTAATGCTAAAATGGTAGATGCATATCCTAAGTGTAATGTATTTGAAGCTGGAAGTCGAGAATATTGGCGTTGTTACGTCATGTGTGTTTCTTCGGGATTAAGCCATTTTACAGGCACATGTCCTATGGGTAAGGTTCTGGATGGACGTCTGCGAGTTCACGGTATAAAAAATTTACGAGTGGCTGATGCAAGTGTGATGCCAACCAGTACTAGAGGCAATCCTGCAGCCTCAGTTATTATGATCGGTGAAAAAGCAGCAGATATGATCAAAGAAGACTACAAATTAATTTAATATATCACTATTAAATTAAACTGTAGTCTTCTTTGATTTTCTTTGCTTACAAACATGACAAATTTAAGACGATGAGCATCTTCTGTCACAGAGGAATTTTACTATACATCGTGCTTTTCTTTGCAAATATCTTTTAGAAATGGTTGCGTGATCGTGTAGAGGATAGACAATACTTTTAAACTATATGTTTTATAATTCATTCATTCTTAGTAATAAAGTGAACACTCTTACTTTATAATTTATAATTTTATTGTTTTTAAAAACACAAATGAATATAGGATAAACTGTTTGAAAATTTTGTTAATGACTATGCCAAAAGAATCATGAGAAATGTAAAGATAAACTTCGTCAAACGCCCTGATTTTTCCGCAAACATCTTACACGATGCTTCCTTTTCTTTATCTTTTTTATCTTATTGGCCAACACCCCATATTAATGGCCACCATTTTTTTTGACATCTTTGACATAGTTAATGCCTTTTACAGTGGTGGGCGATTAGGGAGGCACTGGTGTTCACCAGTTGCCCCCCTGCCTGAGGGACATCATCGGGGTTGGTAGTTGGCTTGGGTTTCCGCAGTTAGACTCAAGAGTGTTCCTTTATGCGTCGAGGATATCATTGAGGTTAATTATCGCGACATGTCCATATTGTATATATAGGTCGGCACAGCGAAGAATGTCGAAGGGAGGTCACATGCGGGGTTCCCCAGGGGTCGGTTTTAAGAGCCCTTCTGTGGAACCTCGCGTATGATGCGGTCCTGAGGACTAGTCTTCCCCCATTAATGAGTATTGTCTGCTACGCGGATGACACTCTGGTACTGGCTGAGGGAAATGGCTTCCAGGAAGTCTTGGAGCTCGCCAAGTTAGGGGTGGCTTGTGTCGTCCGGAAGATCAGCAGTCTAGGTCTAGGGGTGGCACCTCATAAGATGGAAGCTTTGGAAGAAGCACAGGAAATGCAGACGTGCAGTTCCCACCCGCAGGCTTACTAGAGTATGGGAAAACAGAGTTTAAGGTTGGCCGTCACATTAAATACCTCGGCCTTAACCTGGACAGCCGCTGGAGCTTCGAGGAGCATTTCGAGTGGATGATCCCGCGGGGTGGCAGGCTCCCTAGGAAGGCGGTTGCCTAATCTAGGGGGTCCGCGGGTTGAAGTTCTGTTGATACAATCCATGACCCTCTACGGAGCGCCGATATGCGTATATGATATACGCCGCAATCAAGCGCAGCGGGTAGTGGATTTAGATAGTACGGGTATACCGCGCCATTTTGTCGGAGGCTAGGACAGTCCTAGCATGTTTCCCGATGCAAGGGTCTATAACCAGACTCGCGCGATCCGCCAAGGTGAGAGCGGGAAGACCATAATGAGCTTGAAATCCGGTGGAACGCTCACCGGCACTGGTGCAGTGGCGCGCGCGGTTGTTCGGTGGCGATCTGCCTAACCTCGAAGCTTGGGTAGGTAGGGAGGAAGTTGCGTCACCTACTCACTGGGCATGACTGCTTCGGTGAGTACCTGAATCGGATTAGACGCGAGGAGAGTATACAATGCCAGCACTGCGCATCCGACTGGGGCTCCGCCCAGCATACGCTGGCAGACTGCCCCGCGTGGGCGTCTGAACGTTAAGTCCTGGTCGACCAAATCGGACGAGACCTGTCCCCGCCAGCAATCATTACTGCAATGCTGGAGGGTGAGGAGGGCTGGAGTGGTCAGGCAGTGGTCTCTTTCTGTGAAGCAGTAATGCTCCAGAAAAAGACCGCTGAATGAGATTGGGAGAAGGCCGATTCCGAGCGAAGTTCATACCGCCGGCGGGACCGCAAGCCGCCCGAGAGTGGGGACCTCTGGTGTCAGATTAACTGTGGCAAGGATAGGATGAAGGCCTGATTACACCAAAAATGTGATCGGGCCTCAACATTTCGTTATAGGCTAATAGACAGGGGTAAGCCTCTGGCTTTCCCTGAGATAGGGCCCGGGATAGAGATCTGGGGTGGACCTGCACTCACATGGCCCGGGTCCTCCCTGGAGTAGGGCGCCAAAGACTGGGCGTTGGGGTTTTGGTTTTAGTGGAAACACCACATCCTCCTGGCTCCTGCACCCCCAAGGCGGTGATCCGAAGACATTTTCCACCCCGACACCAAAAAGAAATATGCAATGGGGTGTCCCATTGCACGCCACTTTTTTAATATACTAGGCTTAGCCCTCTGTAACCTCAACCACTGCCGCGCAGCGCAAGATCTGCTTATGCAAACGCTGGCTGAGCAGTCGGTTGCCCTAGCGGTAGTGGCGGAGCCGTACTACGTCCCGGATCACCCCCGGTGGTTTGGTTCTGATGATGGCACCGTCGCCATATACTGGGCAGGGGTGGAGAACGGTCTCCACTGCACTCTTCTGCAGAGAGGGCTGGGGTTTGTGGCAGTAGAGTGGGGCCCCATGGTCACTGTGGGCTGCTACATATCTCCAAACTGCGGCCTCCCCGCCTTCGAGGCGTACTTGGACGGACTTAGGAGTTGCATTTGCACTTTCCTGTCCCGTCCGGTACTTGTCCTGGGCGATTTTAACGCACGCTCCATACAGTGGGGTGATCGCCTGGACAACGTAAGAGGAGATACACTCATTGAGTGGGCGGTGGGACTGAACCTCATCATTTTGAACCGGGGTTCGGTCAGCACCTGTGTGCGGTGGCAGGGGGAGTCGATAGTCGACCTGACGTGGGCGACTCCCTCGGTTATCGACCAGGTGTCAGGATGGAGGGTGGCGGAGGAGGTGGTCACTTTGTCGGACCACCGCCACATCGTATTTAATGTGGCTATCCGCCGCACGGGCGCAGTCCCGGACCGCCGCAGTAGCGGCCCTCCGCGACGATGGGCCCTCAAGCGGATGAACCGAGATATGCTCGTTGCCGCAGCCATCGTCGCGGATTGGCCAGAGGAAGAGGAAGTACAGGTCTTGTCCGATCCAGAAGCGCAGGCTGCTTGGTTCCGTGGCATTATGACTGACGTCTGTGACGCGTCGATGCCACGGGTCAAGCAGGGGGGTGGGAGAGGTTCTCTGTTCTGGTGGACACCGGAACTTGAGCAGCTTCGCACAGCATGCTCGAGAGCCCGTCGCCAGTTCCAGAGAACCCGAAGACGTCGGCGAGCCACAGCCGAGGAGATCGCTGAAGTTAGGCGCGAGTACGGCGCGGCCGCTAAGGCCATTAGCCTTGCGATAGCGGAAGCCAAGGCTCGGTCCTGGAGGGGGCTCATAGAGGGACTGGACAGGGACCCATGGGGGCGCCCTTACAAAATTGTACTGGGCAAGCTCAGACCGTGGGTCCCGCCACTGACGCAGACCTTGGACCCGGAGTTTGTGCGAGGAGTGGTAGATACCCTCTTCCCCGGGGACCGGGTCAGTCCCTCACGCCCTCCGTCGCCGTCGGAACCATTCACGTGGTCCGACGACTTTGACGTGACGGAGGAAGAGCTGGAAAGAGCCGTGAAGCGACTCGCCGCCCGCAACACTGCCCCGGGCCCTGATGGGATCCCGGGCCGAGCATGGGTGTGCGCTTTGGTGGTCCTAGGGAATAGGCTGAGGCGGCTGTTTAACAGCTGCCTCCGTAATAGCGTATTCCCTGCCGGCTGGAAGGAAGCCAGGCTGGTACTTATCCAGAAACCTGGCAGGGCCGCAGACTCTCCCTCGGCGTTCCGACCGATATGCCTGTTGGACGAGGTGGCGAAACTCTTTGAAAGAGTTATCGCCGCCCGTATCAACCAGCACCTGTCGCGAGTGGGCCCTGACTTATCAGACAACCAATTTGGCTTTCGACAGGGACGCTCGACGCTGGACGCGATTGCACGCGTCCGCTCCTTGTCGGAAGAGGTTGTCTGTCGGGGGGGAGTGGCGTTGGCCGTTAGTCTTGACATTGTCAACGCCTTTAACTCTCTTCCGTGGTGGGCGATTAGGGAGGCACTTGTATATCACCAGTTGCCTCCCTACCTGCGGAATATCATCGGGGTTTATCTCTGTGACAGATCCATATCGTATATGGGTCGGGACGGCGAAGATTGTCGAAGGGAGGTCACGTGCGGGGTTCCCCAGGGGTCGGTCCTGGGACCTCTTCTGTGGAACCTCGCGTATGATGCCGTCCTGAGGACCAGCCTTCCCCCAGGATTGAGTGTCGTCTGCTACGCGGACGACACTTTGGTACTAGCTGGGGGACATGGCTTCCAGGAAGTACTGGAGCTCGCCGAGTTAGGGGTGGCTTGTGTCGTCCAAGGGATCAGCGGTCTGGGTCTAAGGGTTGCACCTCATAAGACGGAAGCCCTGTGGTTTCACAGAAAACGCAGAGGTGCAGTTCCCACCAGAACGCTTATTAAAGTGGGGGGAACAGAGGTCGAGGTCGGGCGGTACATTAAATACCTCGGCCTCACCCTGGACAGCCGCTGGAGCTTCGAGGAGCATTTCGAGCGGATGATCCCCCGAGTTCGCGGGGTGGCGGGCTCCCTACAGAGGCTATTGCCTAATCTAGGGGGTCCGCGGGAGGAAGTTCGCCGCCTCTACTGTGCGGTGATACGATCCATGGCCCTCTACGGAGCGCCAATATGGGCCAAGCGCCTATCGGCCTCCTCCCGCTGCCGAGCGAAGCTCAATCAAGCGCAGCGGGTAGCGGCCATTAGGATCGTACGAGGTTACCGCACAATTTCGTCGGAGGCGGCGACAGTCCTGGCACGTTTCCCACCCTTTGATATCCTGGCGGATATGGACGCGAGGGTCTATGACCAGACTTGCGTGATCCGCCGGGGTGAGGGTGGGGAAGACCAGGATGAGCTCGAAATGCGGCGGAACGCCCACCGACAGGCACTGGTGCAGTGGCGCGCACGACTGGAGCAGCCGCGGAATGCGCGCCAACGCGCTGTCGGTGCCGTTCTGCCTAACCTTGAAGCTTGGGTAGGTAGGGAGGGAGGTTGCGTCACCTACCGACTGACGCAGGTACTCACTGGGCATGGTTGCTTCGGGGAGTACCTGAATC